TTCCATACAGTTTCCCTTCTCTCTCCCTTTCTCTCCCACCACTCGTCTCTGTTTAATGAAAGAGATTTAACTTCGAAAATACTAAGTTTAGAGTTAAGTGTTCAGAGTCTGGAGTCTATAGTGACTCTGTCAACTTCCCCATTCAGTGATTTTTTCCCCTCTCTCCACTTGTCTCAGGTGATGCAATATTGGTGTCCATTAAAAGTTTTCAGGTTTTAACAAAAATAAGGAGAAAAAAATAGACAAAAACAACCAGAATAGCGAATAATTGACAGAAACACTTGGGAGACCATCACTATTCACTTGCAGAATTAGGCAAATTCCACTTTTCTCTTTCAAAATGGCCTAAACAGGCAGGGGCCAGGGCGCCCGCGCAAACGCCCGGATGGGCCCTAGCTTCCGGCGCACTCCGGGCGGACCCGTAGGGAACGCGCACCGCCGAGTTCTCAGAGTTGGGCGCACAGCGGTATTCAGCCCACCGTGGGCTTCTGTGCACCGCATACCTCCGCGTATTAGTGGCCTGGGCGCACGGCGGACCTAGGTGCACGGTGGACTCTGGCGCATTGGTGACCTGGGCGCTTTGGGGACTTCACCTCACCGCGGACTCCGGCGCACCTCAGACCCCGGCGCATTGGTGAACTCGGCTCACCGCGAGCCCCGGCGCATTGGTGACCCAGGCACACCGCGGAACCCCGGCGCACGGGGGACTCTGGCGCACTGGTGACCTGGGCGCTTTGGTGACTTTGGCGCACCGCACACCACGGCTTCTGAGGGAGTGTGTGCGGCTCTATGTGACTAGAAGACGGAGCTTTAAACCGAGTTTGAGGGGCGGCCCTGACCCCTCGGTCGAGTTCCTGCCGCTTCCGCCGCCGGGGAGCCTCGTTTCTCTTTGGACTTAGTTCGAGCGCCGGTGACTTGGGACTTAGTTCGAGCGCCGGTGACTTGGGACGCGCGAGTAGAGTGGTGGCCGAGGTCCCGGGCGTCGGGCTACCGCGCATCCCGTGAGGGAAACGAAATCTCCCTCCCTCCCCCCGAAGCGCGGAAAAATCCCATGTGGTGAGGCGCAGCGGCGTTTACTGGTTATTGGAGACACACCTGTGGTCACCGACGTGAGGTACGTTTTCTTTACTGGTTCAAGCGGTTATTCAATACCAACATGTCTCTGTCTACTGAGGGTGCCATGAGCACCTCACAGACTCCAGCTTCGGAACCAGAGACCCTGTATAGACCAAAGCCATTGTTTATGAAGTTGTTGAAGTCTGTTGGCGCACAAAACGACATTTACACTATCAAAGATATTATATTTTATCTTGGCCAGTATATAATGACTAAACGATTATATGATGAGAAGGAGCAGCATATGGTATATTGTTCAAATGATCTTCTAGGAGATTTGTTTGGAGTGCCAAGCTTCTCTGTGAAGGAACACAGAAAAATATATGCAATGATTTACAAAAACTTGGTAATAGTCAATCCGCAGGAACCACCAGATTCCAGCACATCTGTGAGTGAGAGCAGATGGCACCCTGATGGTGGGAGTGATCAGAAGGACCCTGTGCAAGTGCCACAGGAAGAGAAACCTTCATCTTCCAATTTGGTTTCTAGCCCATCTACCTCAACTAGAAGGAGAACAATTAGTGAGACAGAGGAAAATTCGGATGAATTAGCTGGTGAACAACAGAGAAAGCGCCACAGATCTGATAGTATTTCCCTTTCCTCTGATGAAAGCCTTGGTCTCTGTGAAAGAAGCTGTAGCAGTGAGTTGACAGAGACTCCAGCAAATCCAGATCATGATGGTGGTGTAAGTGAACGTTCAGCTGATTTGTTGGATCAAGAATCCATTTCTGATCAATTTAGTGTAGAATTTGAAGTTGAATCTCTTGATTCAGAAGATTATAACCTTAGTGAAGAAGAACAGGAACTCTCAGAAGACACTGATGAGGAAAGTCTAGTTACTGCACATCAGGCAGTAGAAAGTGATTCAGATTCATTTGAAGAAGATTCTGAAATTTCTTTAGCTGACTATTGGAAATTTACTTCACACAACAAAATGGGTCCTGCTGATGGTGAGAACTGCCTTCCTAAAGATAAAGGGGAAATCCCTGAGAAAACCAAAGTGGAAAACTCAACACAGGAAGAAGAGAACATGGATGTGCCTGATGGTAAAAATTTTACAGTGAAAGATTTTAAAGACTCTTGGGATGAGCAAAATGATAATGAAGCCTCCCAATCACAAGAAAGCAAGGATTATTCTCACCCATCAACTTCCAGTAGCATGATTTGTAGCACCCAAAAAGATGTCAGACGGTTGGAGAGGGAAGAAACACAAGACAAAAAAGAAAGTATGGAGTCCAGTTTTCCCCATAATGCCATTGAACCTTGTGTGATATGCCAAGGTCGGCCTAAAAATGGTTGCATTGTTCATGGCAAAACAGGACATCTTATGTCATGTTTCACTTGTGCAAAGAAACTGAAAAAAAGGAATAAGCCCTGTCCAGTGTGCAGACAACCAATTAAAATGATTGTATTAACTTACTTCAACTAGTTGCATTTTGTTAAAGTAGTATTATACATTTCTAGCTATAACTCTAAAAATTTAGATAACCTGGATTTTATCTTTGCTTACATGTATCAAGAGAAGTATCCCCCTGTAGATTTCCTTGTAGTGTAATTTACCTACTTTGGGAAGAAAAGTAGTGAATATGTTCTTTTCTTTTATGAAAATTTCGCTTCTGTTTATATATTGCATTTGGATTTTAATGTAATTTACATTAGATATATATCTTCCTTTACCTTTATCCCTCATATTCTATATAATTTCTAATTTTTCTTAGGTAAGAAGTATCTGATTTTCTTTTGCTTAAATATAAGTAAGACTTTTAAATGTAACTGATTTAGTACCCTTCACATAAAGAGAAAAAATATGTATATGAGACTTAATATCTAATTTGAGATAATATGAAACTCTCTAATTCTTAAGTTTTTCTGTTCTTTCATAACTTGGTGCTATTTAAGTAAAAATGTACTTCTTATTCCAAAATGTTGTCTTTTTTTAAATTTTAATATAAACAATATGTTGTAAGAATTGTCAATTGAGGATAGCCATTATTTACCCTCAAAACTTTTTAAGGCTCCCTTGTAAAATGTAGAATTGTCCTGGAATAATTGCGTATATACAGGCTCTTTTTGACACCTAATTTCAGAATTTCATGTTTCTTGTAAGTTGAAAAACAATTCTTAAGACAATTTGAAGCACCTTCTTGGGCTAGGTTACATGGTTCTTGACAGTTCCCTAGATTTCAGCTCTTGGCTTAAAACCAGTTTTAGGAACCAGTGAATTTAGAATGATTAACTCAGAAGTTTGATAGACAGCATTGTTCATTTTAAAACAAGCTGGAGCTGTGCACATTGGTGCACACCTATAATCCCAGCAATTTGGGAAGCTAAAGCAGGAAAATCCTAAACTCAAGGAAGGCCAGCCTTAGGAACTTAGCAAGATCCTGTTTCAAAATAAAAAATAACAAGGACTGGGGATCTAGCTCAGTGATAAAGCAACTCTGGGTTCAATCCTCTACCAAAAAAACAAAACAAAACAAACAAACAAAAAAAAAAAACTGGAAAAGGTTGTAGCTTCTCTTTATCCAAAAATTGTGCATCACTTTTCTTTAAGAAGGACAAGATCAGAGCATAGCATTCTAAAATGATCCTTCAGACTATGTAGATTAACTTCTTAACTAGTATTAAATAAGATTCTTAAACAAAATTGTGAAAATGACCACCTTCATTCAAACGCCCAGTACTTTTCTCCAATGTACGATGATGTACATATTCAGTTGAAGACAGTAAAATCAACTGGATTGTAAGTGTAGAATAGAACAAAAGGATAATTTTGTACAGGCAGGTACTAGTGACAACATTGTTGGTTTCCAAAACAAAAGCAATCATAACCCTATGACTTATGCATCTACACATACCTAAGCAGGAAACAAATGCCTGAAGAAATCAATACTTTGGCAGTTTTCAAAAATTTTAAATCTTTAATAATTGGGAATTTACAGTATTTTGACCAAGGAAGGAAGGATGTACTAAGAAAAATCCATCCTTTCTGAGAAAAGTTGGTAGTAATGAGGTTATAAATGACACACCTTCAGGGTGTATGTATGGAACGAAGGCTATTTACTCAACATTCCACCCTGTAAATGGAGTCATTTTTAATATGTATGTGGATTACTAATGTCGTCTAATTACTAATGTTAGGTTTGTATATATGCATTATTTTTTGATTTCCAAATGAAGGATTTATTAAAAGTTTGATTAAAAAATGGCCTAAACAGCTTTTCAGGGCACCATGAGGATATTGACTGCAGCTATTCTCACAAATGAGTCACATAAGTTTTGGAGGAGTATTTTTCCAAGGGGGCTTTTTATCCTTTAATTGTAAGATTTTTAAAATGCTAATAACACAATTAGCTTACACAAATACATGTGAACCAATACATTAAACAATTTCAGAGTCTTGAATGTGATAAAATATCCAAGTACCATAAAAGCAGTCTACTTCAAAGACACCATTTTCTGGATAAGACCCATATTCAGAACATTTATCAGTCTGTATTTTAAAAACTGGTGATTTATTTCTCTTTTTATTCACCAAAATGTTATGTTGCCTGCATGCAATACCAAAAGAACTGGACAACTGCATGACAAAATCACACTAGTGTGTTGGCTTTATTGTTCATCACAAAAGGACAAAAATTAAAAGTGCCAAAGAAAGTTTCAGCAAATACTATAGACAAAGGGTTAATATTTTTGTTGTGTAACACTAATGTAGTTTATTTTATTTTGAGGGCCGGGGTGGCAGAGATTCAACTCATGGGCACTTGACCACTGAGCCACATCCCCAGCCCTATTTTGTATTTTGAGACAGGGTCTTACCAAGTTGTTGAGTGCCTCGCTTTTGCTGAGGCTGGCTTTAAACTCTGGATCCTCCAGTCTCAGCCTCCTGAGCCACTGGGATTACAGGCATGTACCACCATGCCTAGCCTGCAGTTTAATTTTTTAAAAATTCCCTAATATTCCCAATAGATTAATGTACAAAATTTGTAAATAGTTCACAAGAGGAAATAGAACTAGCAAACATTCAGAAAAAAATAGCCTCACTTATAATCAAGGAAATGCAAATTAAATAAGGCACCATTAATTTACTTATTTTAAAGAGACATTAAAAATAATACTCAAAGTTGACAAGGGTACAATGAAAGGAAATTGTTCACACACATTGCTATTGGCAGTGTATATCATTACAATCCCCCAAAGCCACCAAAATGTTCAAACCTTTTGGCTCATTAATTCAACTTCTTGGAATCTACTCTAAGAAAATAAGATGTTCATGGTATCTTTATATGACTCTAGTTATGATATAAATGGGGAGGGAGGAATGTAAATATCCTGCAATGTGGGAATGTATATGTAAATTATGGGATATCCACTGTGCACAGCCATTAAAATGTTTGTAGAAATTGTGTAGAAACATGCAAAAAGATCTAAAAATCTGAAATGAAGGAAGCAACATGAAAAATTATGTGTATAGTATGACTATAAGGAAATGGGCCAGAATGATAGCAGTTACCCTTAGAGGCTGGTAGGATTATAAGGGAGATTTCTTATTCATTTTTGTAAAGAATCAAGTGATTCTGTTACATTTGTAGACTACTGCCTCCTAGCAGTTCATTCTTTACATGTTTCCTTAAGAAAAAGAAACATAAGGGAATCAGGATTTCACTTTCCTTTTAAGAATTTTGTAAATTCAGTGTTTTCTGAATCTGTCAATCAGCATTAAGGTAGAAGGTCTTTCTTGAGGAAAAATTATTGTTATATTTCCAAAGAGTACTACTGCCTTTGCTAACTATTCCCTAGGCACTGGTGTGGCCACATTTCTTCAAACCATTGTGCTATATGAAGGCTTGTGCTCCTTAGACAATGCTCTATGTACACACACACACACACACACACACACACACACACACATTAATATATATGTTAAGAATGAAAAATATTAAGAAAATAAAAGGATAGAGGAAATGAAGTGATCCCCAATGCATACATCTATACACAGAGACCCATGGGTGTAAAAGCAATAAAGATTGGAGCGTATATGAGAGGGTTGGGGAGAAGAAAGTAGAGGAGGGGAGATGAGGAGGAGTAAGAGATAATGTAACCATGGCCTTGAATATACCCACCATTTTTTTTTTGTCATATCAACCTGAACTTCTCTTCAGTTTCATATGCAATCCTAGAATTCCAGAGCCACAGATTTCTTTGAGTTAATTTGGTCTCCTTACTTTACATTTAAAAACAAGGCCCTGAAGCCAGGTGTAGTGGCACACACCTGTAATCCCAGCTGCTTAGAAGGCTGAGACAGGAGATTGGAGTTCAAAGCCAGTGTCAGCAACTGGTGCTAAGCAACACAGTGAGACCCTGTATCTAAATAAAATACAAAATAGGGCTGGGATGTGGCTTAGTGGTGGAGTGCCCCTGAGTTCAATTCCCAGTACCCCTTGCCAAAAAGGTAGCCAAATAGTGCGTTCCACAGCTTCAAACTTGTGGCTTTCAAAACTAATATGTCTAAAGCTTAGTGGATTCAGCCTCACTTATAATCAAGGAAATTTAAAAGAAATTTTTTTTTAGTTGCCAATGGATTTTTTACTTTGTTTATTCATATGTGGTGCTGAGGATTGAATCCAGGGCTTCACACATGCTACTCAAGTGCTCTACCACCGAGCCACAGCCCCAGTCCTCTTGAGAGAGGAAAGATTATTTACCTAGGATCATTCTACCAGATGTTCCTCTGAAAGACACTGTGAAGGGGGCCAGTGATGTGGCTCAATGGCAATGTGCTCGCCTACCATGTATGAGGTCCTGAGTTTGATCTCCAGCACCGCCCCAAACAAACAAAAAAGACAATGTGGAACACTGGCTAAGGGTATCAAGACAGGGGCTGGGGATGTGGCTCAAGCGGTAGTGCGCTCACCTGGCATGCGTGCGGCACGGGTTCGATCCTCAGCACCACATACAGACAAAGATGTTGTGTCCGCCAATAACTTAAAAATAAATATTAAAAATCTCTCTCTTCTCTCTCTCTCTCTTTCTCAAAAAAGAGCATCAAGACAATTGGAGATAAATTGTAGGAGTTGAAATCTCAGCTTTGTAGCTTACTACCCGTGTAGTCTTAGCAAGTCACTTAACTGCTCTGTTCCATGGTTTACTTTATCCATTAAATGGGGGATTAAAACAGCACCTACCTCATAGAGTTCTATAATAATTAAAGGAGTTAATATATGAAATGCACTAGTATAGTGCCTCATGCCTGGTAACTGCCATATTAGGTACTCGCTGCCTCTGCTGCTGCTTAAGGCCAATGATTTCCACATATAAAGGTGTCTCATGAGCATAAACATCTCCATGAGCTTAAATTTTGTGTCAGTGGATTCAAGTGAGGAGGGAAACATCCCGGTTCACTTCTTAAGTTGCTTGCATTTTGTTAGCAAGTATAAAGTGAAAAGCACAAGGGCAAACCACAAGTGGTGACATTTGAATTTATACTATGTGAACTATCTGAATGGATGTGCTGCAGTAGGGAAGATAATTGACTTCTTTGTTTTTCCCTCTGTTCCATAAGAGCATGTGCTTTACAATACTCATATGCTTTGGTTTAAAATTTATCACTATCAAAATAATAGATAAATTTAAAAATTGTTAAAATGAGATTAGTATGATATGATTAGTATGATAGGCTTTTCAAAGCACTATCATCATGACGTCTGAATAACATTTATTTACAT